TCTCAGCAACTTGTGGGGAGAGGAAGAAGATCAATCAATTCCTGCCATGTAGCAATGTTTTACAGTCAGCCCAAATCAACAGATGCTCTTGGACGAGTAATGACGGAACCTCACTGTGAAGTCAGATCAAGAGGTGGGAGGGGGTACATACGCATTGGAGAAGATAGTCACACTGCTGTTGGCATGTAAACTCGGTGGGGCAACCTACCACTGAGGAAAAAAAAAGCTGAACATTACTTACATATACCTCAACGGGAAAAACCACCAGCGTCATCGTCACCACTGGGCACTTTCGTCCAGCTCCAGGGGACGCCAGCAACATGCTAGAGACAGCTGGGATATTAGACTCTGTCCTTTGAGACCACACCAGAAGGACCCAAATTGGGAACCACATTAAGAAAACTGGACTTTACTTTGAACTCCCTGTGGCAGATCCAAGGAACTGAAATACTCCTTGAACTTAAAAGCAAAATGCCCTCCTGGGAGAAGCAGCTCATCTGCATCAGCATGTGCTTCCTCTTGTCAAGGTCAGCATCTGAATATTGAAGGTTGATGATAAGCCTTCCTCCATTCCTGATGCCCCATTTTCCTTCATATAATTCAAATCGCCCTTGTCTGATTATGTGCTCAGGACACAGATTGAATAAGTAGGGTGAGAGGATACAACCCCGACACACACCTTTCCTGATTTTAACCCACACAGTGTTCCCTTGTTTGCACAGCTGTCCCTGTTTGCACAGCTGCTACTTGATCCATGTACGGGTACTTCTTGAGCACAGCGAAGGGTTCTGGAATACCCATTCTCCTCTGTTCCCAATTTGTGATGATCCACACAGTCAAATGCTTTGGCATAGTCAATAAAGGACAAGTAAACACCTTCCTGGTATTCTCTTCTTTCAGCCAAGATCCAACTGACATCAGCAATGATATTCCTGCTTCCACATCCTCTTCTGAATCTGGCCTGGATTTCTGGCATTTTCCTGCCAAAGTATCACTGCAAATGCTATCGGATGATCTTCAGCACAATGCTGACTTGCATACGATGTCAATGACATGGTTCTAATAATTTGAGCATTCTGTTGGATTACCTTTCTTTAGAATAGGTACAGATATAGATCTCTTCTTTGCCAAGTTGCTGTGCTCCAAATCTCTCAGCATAGATGAGTGAGTGCTTCCAGGGCTTCATCAGCCGGCTGAAACAGTGCAATTATTCCATCCATTCCGGGAGCCTGGTTTTGGCGGATGCTTTCAGCCTATTCCTTCTTCACAGATGATTCTTAGTCTGGAAGCTCTGCTGAAGCCTTTTCACTGTGGGTGACCCTGCTGGCATTTGAAATAGCAGTGGCGTAGCCTGCAGCATCACAGCAATGCACAAGCCACCCACAGTACAACCGACTGACAGACAAGTGGTGGCATCATTTGTGCATCATACCCTTACTGGTATCTTTAAAAAACCACTTCAACAAAGGAGGCCTCCCTTCAGCTGGGGTCAGTTTCTCCTGTTGCTGGAGTGGGGGAAGGAGAAGACCAAGCAGTCCTTGCCATATTGTTTTACACTTACCCCCAATCACCAGGGGTTCTCATTGGACCTTAGTGTAAATCCAGGACATATTTTTCTCAGAGAAGGTGTTTTCACTTCTCTTGGTGGGTAAAACAGGGGAGGCAATCTGCCAATGGGACAAGCATTTAACATTACTTCTTTGGACCCCTCAAGGTAGAGTTTCTAATTGAATCCTTTTGATATCGTTTCTATCCAGCCCTCGGTGACCCAGGCCGATTGGTATAGATTACTGGGATTTTAGACTTTGCCCTTTTAGGTGCATAATATCCTTCATAGTTCACACCAGAAAGATCCAATTTGGAAGTCACACTAAGGGAACTGGAATTTGCCTCAAACGATCCCGTAGCAGATTAAAGGAACCTTTAATCTGGATTACTGGGTTACTCCCTTGGATTTAAAACTGGAAGCCCTAGTGTGAGAAGAAGCTGGTGACAGCTATCCCAAGATTATGGATTTGGAAGTCATTGGACTTTGGTTCAAATCTCTTGCTTTGAAGGAGTTCAAATAATGGCAATGCAAGACTACCATATATTGGCTGTTTTCATGCGCTCTGCTTTTCTATGACGTGCCTTAGTCTAGCAAGCACAGCTCTGCCTTTGTGAATGAGCATCCTGGAAAGTTGTGCCCTATCTTAACAACACTCGTTATTTGCATACATAGCATCCAGTCACTTAATTTTTTCATGTGTAAAAGTAAACAACCCACATAGTTTAGTCTAAAAAACTGTCCTATATATGTATACAATACTTTCCTCAACAGTATCTTAAATTCCATGCCATTAGCTAAATGAATGATATTATCAATAGGATTACCATAGGCCTTATGGGGATGGCATAAAATTCCTCAATAAAATGATAATTATGTCTCTAGAGTAGACCCAGAACATATAAAAACCCTCGATATGAATGGATTTTCAGTTCAACTTAATTGTCCCACTAATCTAAGAACAATGAACTCTTATGGCATGGCACTACTTGATACTTTCCCTCATGAAGAGATCACTGAAGAAATGGGTGTTATAGCATATTGTGGTGATGAAATTAAATAATACCGGGTTTCCCAAAGAATAGTGTCTGGGGTCTTAAAGGCACACCTTAAAGAAGCAGCCATCTAAGTGAGCGGTCGGTTAAATCTTTACAGAAGAACCATATCAGTCTGTGTGTGTGAGCCAATGATTGTAAATAATCAAACCCACCACAGGAGAAAGGAATGGTGTTAGAGCTTAAATTCTGCAGAAGGAGATGGATGACAATGAAAGCCCCAAATTCATCCACAGGGTTCCCCCAGCCCCCATGCTGGAGTAAGCCTCTGGTGAATTCCTTCTAACCATTGACCAGAGCTGTGACTAGCCTCGCTACCAGACAGAGTGTGTTGGGAAGTGGACCAATGCAGATATAGGTTAAAATTGAACATGTTACCATTGCTTCTCCCTTTTGAGCCATTTTAAATTTGTTCTAGTTATTATTTTCTGCTTTCTTTTTTATGATGAGTTTTCTCTGTGTTATATTGTTATTGTTGTTGTTTTCTGTTTGTTTTCTTTATATGAAATCCAGGATACATAAATCTATACGAGGGGGTACCCCCCCCAAAAAAGAGAATATTTTTTACAAAGTTAGGTATTTAAATTTTTTTTACAAAACAACTTTAACACTTTCATAGTACCCTGCATTACAATTAACAACTTTGTGAAATCTGAGATTCCATTCTTGGAAATATTTTTCAAACTCATCTGTTTGGATGGCGGACAGCACCTCCTTTGTTTTTTAATCCATCTCTTCTACATCATCAAATTGTTGTCCTTTCATGTCCCGCTTCATTCATGGAAACAAAAAAGAAGTTGCATGGAGCAAAGTCAGGTGAGTAAGGTGCTTGGGATGAAAGGCATGTTGGGTTTTTTTTGTGCCAAAAACTGGCTGCATGAGATGGCTGCATGAGCAGGTGCACTGTTGGGTGGCAAAACCAGCTCCCCTTCGGCCACAAATCAGGCTGTTTTGTTGCACACCATTATGCAGTCTTTTTAGAACCTCTAAATAGAATGCTTGATTAACAGCCTGACCTGTTGGAACAAAGAACTCCAAATGCACTATCCACCTCACATCAAAAAAACAAATGAGTATCAGTTCTTGGGGTATCCCCTTGTAGAGACAATAACTATATTAATAGTTTCTTACTATTGTGGCAGGAGAGGTTGGGGAGAAATCAAGAGCCAATAATAATGAGTACAAGAAATAAGTGTTCTAAAATGGATTGTACTCATGATTGTGAAACTTTAAAAAATAAGTTTAAGGCATCAAATTGTATGATATATGGATTATATGCCAATAAAACTGAAAATAAAAATTTTAAATCTCTATGGACAGCTGTTCTACTGTGACACACATGGGGGTGTCATGAGTGGGAGTTGCTTCCACTGCAACTGGCTCCCCACTTTTTGAAGCCAGTAGAAAATGGGGAGCAGTTCAGTATGTGAGGAAAGCCCATTTTGGAGCTTTCTCTGCATCTGAGGTGCAGAAGGTGCGTTCTGAAATTATTCCTTGATGGCAAAATCTCTTTTCTCAGACAGGAGGAACCTTACCATTTAGTGTGGGCCCATCAGCCAGTTCAATATCTAAAATCTTGGAAAATGTAATACAAAAACACATGTAAAGGTGAAAATTACTGAGCCAAATTTCAGTAACTTTAACCAGATAGGGAGAGCTTCTGAGTGATGCAAACAGTTCACATGTGCAGCTGCTGAATAAGAGGGTGGAGGTTTGAATCCACTCATAGGCCTGTTGGGAGGAAATCCTTGCAATTTGCTTCTGAAAAATCATCCATTAGAAAGGGGGAACCCATCACAAGGTTGGATATACAGGGACCTACCATCCCCTGGCCCCAAGAAAACAAATAACTGGCATGTGGGTGAAGGGAGATAATGGACAGTGTAAGATACGAAATAATAATAACAATATATATAATTGATCAAGGATTCACGAGGGTGGGAGTGGAGGGAGGGGGAAAAGAGGAGCTGATACCAAGGGCTCAAGTAGAAAATGTTTTAGAAATGATGATGGCAACATATATACAAATATGCTTGATACAATTGATGTATGGAATGTTATAAAGCTGTAAGAGCTTCCAATAAAATGATTTTTTTTAATGTTTCCTGAGGTGCCCAGATAAAACTTAAGAATAAACTTTCAGGATATAGTAAAAATTGATACTTTTTTTAAAAACCATCCATTGAAAACCTTGGGGAGGACAGTTATACTCTAACACACCTATGCTTGCCATGCATTGGAGTAGACTATAAGATAACTGGTGGTGGTTCTCAACCAAAGGGAAGATAGCTGCCAGCAATGAGTGCAAATAATACCTGTGCTGACCTTGTAGACCCATGAGCCACACTAAACATATAGGATCTTCATAGAAAACATATTCAACATGAATGACTTCTCTTTTATTGCTTACCCTTGTGATCCAGAGGATTTTTAGGCCTCCCCATGATCTCATCCTCTGTGGCCTTCAAATTCTGGATTAGAAAGTATGTGGTCATTTTTCCTTTACCCTTCACCTCAATTTCTCCCCTTTCGATGATTTCAAATCCTTGATTTTCCAGTGCTCTGCACAAAGAAGGAAATGTACTAGATATCAAAGATTTGGTGACAAAGTATAGGGTGAAGGGAGAAGTATGCAGGAGGACACAAGACATGGAAGAGTCCATCAGCAGTGCCTGCTGGGAACAAAGAGGCACAGGGGAGAGGAGGAAAGAAGGTTCATCATACACTTTGCACAAGACCCAGGCCAACTTTGGAGCCCTATCACCATGGGCTTGTGCCTTCCTCTAGCACAGTGCTGCTCAACCTTCCTCATGCCGCAACCCTGTAATCCAGTTCTCATGTTGTGGTGACCCCCAAGTATAACATTATTTTCATTGCTACTTCATCACTGTCATTTTGCTACTGTTATGAATCGGGTGACCCCTGTGAAAGAGTCATTGGCCCCCCAAAAGGGGTCTCTACCCACAGGTTGAGAACCATTGCGTCTAGCACAACCCACAAACCACTTTCACATCTCTGTACATCATGCCATCAATGCCTGTGTACACTCCTCCCCACGTGATTCTGAAACTGAAGGCTCCTTGACTATCTGTACCCTTTTCCCATCTTCCACTCACCACTGATGTACCTGACAGTTGTCATCATGCTCATCCTAACCACCTAAACTTCTCTTTACATGATGATTTCTGGTGACCAAGGCACTGAGAAGTATCAGGCTGGGTCTTTTGCTTAATTACTTAATGACCAGATTGGAAGCTGTGTGATGTAGGTGAAAGGTCCCAGAACCATGCCCATTGGGAGTGTCTCACAGTCACAGTCACCTGCCTCAGCTGGGCCTCGGCATTCCATCAGTCCTTCATTCCTCTTGGCCTACGGTACCACGTGCCTCATCACGCTACTCCAGCCACCTGTTTGACGCATGCGCTCACACTCTCTAGCTGCTGACCATGGCTTCTCCTTGGTGATCCCTTTCGGTTACGAAATTGCAATAAGTATAGGTGTCATCCGGCGATATCTTATTCCATTGGCCACAGAAACCCTCCTTCCAAGCCTCAGAGAAAGAAGTGTTCTTCATGTTCTCAGTCCATGCTTCTGACCCACCCTTCCTGCCTCTTCTGGGCCTTGCCTCGCCAGCTGCCCACTTCCTCAACTGTTGTCAGTTCCTGTCCATTTGCATATCCGCCCCATTGTCCAGGGTGCTCAAGATGAAGCCATCAAAAAGCGAAGCAAACAACTTCTCACTTGACTGTCTCCTGTTTTAATTTAATGTAATCTATATAAATACAAATCTCTTTTTGGCCCAGCATCAACCACTAGTTTCTTCTTCTGCTTCTAACGTTTGCACTTCAATCACCAATGACGTAGGTTAGACATCCTTTCCCTGAACTCCCACAAAAATCCTGTTATCTTTAAATGGACTCCAACCCATGGCGCTTCTACATGTGTCCGGGGAGGAAGGGCTGTGCTTCACAGGGTTTGCGTGGCTGATGCTTCAGAAATAGATAACCAGGCTTCCTTCTGAGGTGTCCCTGGGGACGCCTGGCCCCCAGCCTTTTGGTGAGCAGTGGAGTACTTTCAATTGTTTGCAGCACCCCATTCTTCGTTAAGACCCATTCTTTTGTTAGAGCTCATTTAAAGCTCTTGATTCATTGTTTAAATGAAACTATCATTTGCATAAAATTATAAGAAGCCCACATCGGTAAGTAGGAATAATTGTGGAAACTACTCTCTGAAACTTGCTTCAATACTATACAATATAAAAATTTTAGAACAAAATGCAGAGTCTTATGCTTATAATTACCTTTACATTTATCATACTTTAAGAATAATTGTCTAGGACTGCTTCTTCCTTCACTGAACTAAGAGCCAATAAACTTTTCTGAAAAGCAAGATAATAAATACTTCAGGTTTTGTGTTAGGTAATTGTCTCTTTCACAATTACTTAGCACTGCTGTGTCTGGAATTAAACAATCTGTAATTAAAAGGAAAAAAGAAGGAATGGCCATGTGACAATTAAAGTTTATTTTAATCTGTCAATTCCTCAATTAGTCCATATGCTCCTTGGAATTAAACATTATGGTAGCGACTCAAGTTGATAGATGACATTGAGTCAGTTCCAACCCATAGTGACCCTATGCACAACAGAGCAAAATACTGCCTGGTCCTGAGCCAACCTCACAATATTGATTAACATAACATCTGCTGACAGTGGGATATGGAGAAAAGCATATAGGTTTCCTCTATTACCTCCCCTCACCCCCACCCCATGCCAGGGCTGTTTTTTACTCATATCTGAGTGGGCACTTGGTAATTTCTAGAGGGAGGGCGGAGGGCAGAGGGAATATGAATAAATGCATAGTACCGGAAGGCACTGGGGCTGAGGTGCACTTGGTTGGGAAGTCCATGACTCTCCATCCTAGAAGCTGTGTTCACAGTATCACCAAACAGGCAGTACCTCGGCATTTTGTCTCCCACAACACCTGCTAGCACAGGTCCCGTGTGAATCCCCACCCTGATCTGGAGAGAGAGAAAACCTCATTTTCAGAGAGACCATCTGATAGGCTTGTTTTAAATTTTTAAAGTGAGGTCAAATTTACATAGAATTAAAATCCAGATATTAAGTGTTTAGATCCATGATTTCTAACAAGTTCATGTATCCCCATCCCAAATAAAATATAGCATAGTTCCATTTACTTTATAAAATTACCTATGTGCCTTTCTAGTTACACTCTGTCCCTCCTCTGAGAGATAACTGCTGTCTTAATTCTTGAAACAAAGATTAATAAGCCTATTCTAGAGCCTGCCATAAACAGAATTATGTAGCATATATGTACTATTCTGTCTGATTTCATTTACTTGACGTTTTTGAGGGTCATCCAGATTGGTGCATGTGTCACTAGTTCATTATTTTATTGCTGACTAGTATTCTATTTTAAGAATACAATCTATTTGGTCATTCTCTTCTTGGTGAATATTGGATTTTTTCCATTTGAAACTATAATAAATAAAGCTGCTATGAACATTCACATATGTCTGTGACACGTGCTTTCATCTCTTGAAGCTAACTAACTATTTGGAGGTAGAATTTCTAACTCAAAAGGTAGATGTACATTTAATGTTAAAAAAATGACGAATTCCAGTAATTTTCCAAAGGTGATGTACTATTTTTATTGCTGTCATTAATATGATACTTCCCACCATCTTCCAAAACAAAACAAAACTCACTGCTATGGGGTTGATTCTGACTCACAGAGCCCTGATAGCACAGAGTAGAACTACCCCTTTAGGTTTCCAGGGCTGTAAATCTTTATGGAAGCAGGAAGCCCCATCTTTCTCCTATGTATGAACCACTCATATAGCAGCACAATATGAAACCTACTACACCATGAAATAACTCAGGGTGGTTTTAATTTTCATTTACCTAATGGCTGTTGATAGATGCCATTGAGTCAGTTCCGACCCATAGAGACCCTAAGCACAACAGAGCAAAATACTGCCCAGTCCTGAGCCAGTCTCACAATTATTCCTGTGCTTGAGCCCATTGTTGCAGCGACTGTGTCAACCCAGCTCCTTGAGGGCCTTCATTTTTTTTCCGCTGACCCTCTACTTTACCAAGCATGATGTCCTTCTCTAGGGATTGGTCTCTTCTGAAAACATGTCCAAAGTATGTAAAATGAAAGCTCACCATCCTTGCTTCCAAGGTGCACTCTGGCCATACTTCTTCCAAGAGAGATCAGTTTGTCCTTTTGGCAGTCCAGCATACTTTAATAATCTTCTCCGGCACCACAATTCAAATGCACCCATTCTTCTTTGGTCTTCCTTATTCAATGTCCAACGTCCATATGCGTATGAGGCGATGGAGAAGACCATGGGTTGGGTCAGTTGCACCTTAGTCCTCAAAGCAACATCCTTGCTTTTCAATACTCTAAAGGGACCTTCTGCACCAGATCTAACTAATGCAATGTGTATTTTGGTCTCTTGACCCCCTAATGGAGAGTAATGTTAAAAATATTTTCATATGCCTACAAATAAACCCCAACGTGTTATCCAGTTGATTCTGATTCATAACCACTCTATAAGGAAGAGTAGAACTATGCAATAGGGTTTCCAAGGCTGGAAGTCATTATGGAAGCAGACTGCATGGGATACGAGGGTGTACCCCCACAGAAACAAAAACAACGATGCTCATTTGGCTGTTTGATGTGAGGGGGCTAGTGCATTTGGAGTTCATTCCACCAGGTTAGACTGCTAATCAAACTTCTTATTTAGAGTTTCTGAAAAGATTGCTTAACAGTGTACGACTAAGAAGGCCTGATTTGTGGCAGACAGGGGACTGGCTTTGTCACCACGATAGTGCACCTGCTCATGCAGCCATCTCAGTGAGCCAGTTTTTGGCAAAAACAATGTGCCTTTCTTGTCCCATGCCCCTTAATCACCTGATATCTCTTCGTTGGACTTCTTTTTGTTTCTGTGAATGAAGAGGGACATGAAAGGGCAGTGATTTGACGATGTAGAAAAAGTGAAGAAAAAAAAGAGGAAGGTGCTGTTAGCCAAACAGATGAGTTGGAAAATTTTTCCAAGAATGGAATCACAGATTTGACAAATGGATTAGGTATAATGGAGAGTACTTTGAAGGTGATAAGGTGGTTTTGTTAAAAAATTTAATACATAACTTTAAAAAAAACTGATTTATTTTGGGCATCCTCTTGTAGATATTGGCTTTGAACCACTGGGACTTGGATTAGCAACTGAGTGCTTTAACCATTATGCTACCCGGTCTCCTTTTATGTATCTACTTTTCTTATGCCCCTTTTCTTAACTTAGAATGCCAACATCTTTACCAATGTTCTTCTTTGCAACTCTAGCATGAAAGTGTCTGGGAATTCATTGTTTACATTCATTCTTAGTGGTGGAGCGTTATTTTCACCCTTGTTTGCTATGTCCCTTACCCTACCATTTTTTATTGAGTCTCTTCTGTTGGTAAATTTCAGTTTCCTCTTCTTACTTGAAGGGATTTCATATTTGTATCTATATATACAAAGATATAAATATAGACACAAATATACTCACTCCTCACTTATCAACATGCTTATTTTCTGAAGAGCGGGTCATTTTGTCAAAATTGGCATTATGTGAAAATGGAGAATGATTAGAGGACAAAATGGAAGATTACTATATCATTCCATAAATGCTAAATTATATCACGATATAACTGCCAGATTGAGTCCTTTTATAACAGCCAAACCACTGAAAATTATAGCCCAGGAAATGTGACACATAATCTTAATCATCACAGACAGAATTACTCTTGCATAGCACCCTAGCATTGTTATTGCTAAATATGTGCAGAAACGATAGACTTTTTAAAGAAACTATTGTCAAAAAGCTTAAATGCTGGTGATTGGTAGTTAATAAGTGAGAAGATTGTGTATATAAATATAGGTATGATATAAACAAATATATTATTTCTATTTCTATAGCCATTCAACTATTTTTTATTCAGTGATTTCTATGAGTCTTTCCATGGAAATATTCATCTCTTATCTGACCTCATTTCCACCACTTCATCACTTCCCAGATCTTGATTCTTTGTCTTCCCCACCCCATAGGCTGCATTTCTGAATTGTATCGCCAAGCTTTTCTTCCTAGTCCATCTTAGGGAGAAAGCGGTGCTGCAACCTGGTCAGCATCTACATCATGCAAGCCCCAAGTGACAGACATGTTATGGCAATGCCAGCGGTCCATCAGCTGGGAAACCAGCCCAGGTCTCCCATATGAAAGGTAGGAAGTCTACCACTGAATCACCACTATTTCACTCTGAATTTTCCTTTTGTTTTGTTTTTGCTCACACTATGACAAGGATTTTTACACTGTTTCTCAGTTTCTAAATCATAAGGTGAGGGTGAAAGAACACATATTTAGAATCTCTTGGGAGTTATAATTTTGAAAAATCATATTCCATCATATCTCACAAAGCCACACTCACTGCCAGTAAGCCATGTTGACTCACAGTGGTCCTATAGGATGAGGTAGAGCTGTCCTTACATTGTTTCCAAGATTGTCAATTTTTATGGGATTAGAAATTGGTTTATATTTAGTTATTTTGAACTGAAACTTTAAATATTTTTTACTGAAAAAAGTGGAGATGGGAAGTCTAGTGGCTGGCTTTTGCTAAGGAGGATCTACTTTTCATCTCCAAATTTCCCAACTTTCCTTGTGTAAACAAATCATTATACTCGCGAGAGCAGTTTCCAGTGAGAACAAAGAAATGTCTGGGCTAACGGCCTCTGGTGGAAGGAGAGTTATTCTGAATACCCCATTGTGGTTGTTAGGTGCCATTGGATTGTTCTGACTTCTTCTAGTGACCATGGACAACAGAAGGAAACACTACCCAGTCCTGCACCGTCCTCCCAATTGTTAGGTTGAGCCCATTGTTGGAGCCACTGCATCAATCCAGCTCATCAAAGACTTCCTTTTTTTCATTGCCCTTCTACCCTACCGAGCATGGTGTCCTTTTCCAGGGACTGGTCTCTCCTGAGAGCTTGTCCACAGTACATGAGACTGAGACTCACCACCCTTACTTCTAAGGAGCACTCTGGTTATACTTATCCCAATACAGACTTAGTTATTCTTCCGGTAGTCCATAGTACTTTCAATATTCTTCTCCAGCACCACAATTCAAACACGTGGATTCTTCTTTAGGCTGCCTTATCTAATGTCCAACTTTCACAGGCATGTAAGGCAATAGAAAATTCCATGGCTTAGGGCAGGCAATACATCCTTTTATCTCTTGACTGATGCTTCCTTGAGCATGGATTGTAGATCTTAGTAAGATAAAATCCTTGACATCTTCCATCTTTTCTCCATATACCAGAATGTTACCTACTGGTCCAGTTTTGAGAATTTGGCTTTACTCTACGTTGAGTTGTAATCCCTACTGAAGGGCTGCCATCCTTGATCCTCATCAAGGGTAAGTCTTCCTCACTTTCAGCAAGCACGGTTTTTTATCTGCGTTTCGCAGTTTGTTAATACGTCTTCTTCTAACCCTGATCCTTCATTTTCCCCATATAGACCAGCTTCCCTGCTTAATTTTTCCCCTCCCGCCCCGCTTCTCTAATTATATTTTAATTACCTTTCTTCATTGTACAATGTTTTTGATGTCATCCCATTGCTTGTTGGGTCTTCTCTCACTAGAGTTCAATGAGTCAAATCTTTTCCTTTCTTTTCTTTTTAAAAATGTTTGTTGTGAATTTGGTAAGTTTACAGAGCAGACCAACAGTGTTACATTCAACAACTCACACACACTATTTCAATTCATCCACTGCAACGCCAACATACCACCCTTATGTCTATTTCTCTCAGGGTTTCCCATTTCCATTTGACCTTCTTTCCTAACCTTCTGAGCTTTGTCCCTGGGGCAAGGCTGCCCTTTTTGGTCTTAAATGGCTCATTATTTTATCACAGAGGTGGGTTCCATTCCAGACTTAAAAGGTTACAGAGTCATCGTCTTGGGATGATCCGCCTGCCTCTCTCTGACCAGTAAGCTTGGTCTTTTGAATGATATTGAGTTGTGCTCCACATTTTTATTCCACTTTATCCAGGACCTTCTAATATGGCCCCGTTCAGTGCAGTTGGTAGTGGTAGCTGGGCACCATCTAGTTCTTTTGGTCTTAGAGTTGTAGAGACTGATGGTTGTGTGATCTGTCAGTCCATTTGAATCAGTGTTTGCATATGTCTTTTCATCACTCTTCTTTCCTCAGACAGGGAAAGGCCAAAGGTTGCACCTTAGAGGGCTGCTCACAGCTTTTAAACCCTAGTTGCTATTCACCCCATTGTTTTTGTGGTGTTGTACCAATAGACCTTGGTGTCCCTCAAGACTATGGTCCTGTGGCTCATTCCTTCAGGGAAGTTGATTATGTCTAAAACACACTCATAACGTTGCCTCTGCTAGTCAGTAGTTTTAAGTTACATTAGACAGAACCATAGGTAACTGCAATTTTTTTCTGGAGAAATTTTTCTTGGGAAAATTCCCCAGTACTAGGTATTGCCAGTGACAATCTTTAGTTCAAAACAAAATTATTGTGACCTAGAATTTTTCTGTCACTTTTATTTTTATTTAAAATTATTCCTTCCTTTTTGTCTCTAACCTTTATATTCAAATTGTCAATAATTATCAATAAATCAGGATTGTATGTTTGATTAATTTCAGACTGAACAAGCTGGCAGAAGTCTTCAATTTCTTTAAATAATGGTTATGTTAATTGAATTTCCTTATATGCATATATACTATCCAATCCAAGCATTTTATTTCAAGATAGATCCTGAAATGTTCTTTTTAGAGATGAATGTGACACCATTCCTCCTGAGTTCATTGTTCCCAGTGTAGTAAATCATGTAATTGTCTGATTCAAAATGTTAAATACCAATCCATTCAGCTCACTAATGCTTAGGATGAGGAGCCCTGGTGGTGTAGTGGTTACATGTTGGGCTGTGATCCGTGTGTGAGCAGACTGAAATTACCAGAAGCTCTGGAGGAGAAATACTGGCCATAAATAGTTACCATTTCGGGAACCCACAGGGGTCACTTTAAGTCAGCACTGACTTGATGGCATTGAGTTTGTTGTTTTGGTTAATGCTTGGTATACCTATCCTTATGTGTACCATTTCATTTAAAAGGCTTCCAATTTTCCTAGATTCATACTTAGTACATTCTAAATTACAGTTATTAATAGAGATGCGCAGCTGTTCATCTCATATTGAGTCATTTCCCATTAGCAAATGAAGGTTCCAGTAGCTTTAGCCATCCGTGTCATTATGATCAGCTACTTTGAGAGGGAAGTTTAGTCATATTTTGAGTGCCTTCCAACCTGAGAGGATTATCTTCAGGCACTGACAAGGTTCTACTGCTATCCAGAAGATGAATATTCATAAGTGACTAATTCTTTAGAATTGAACAGCCTATTCTTTCTTCCTAGTCTGTTCTTAGTCTGAAAGCCCTGCTGAAATCTATTCATCTTGGTTGACCCTGCTGGTATTTAAATGATCAGTTACAAATCTTGCGGCATCACAGCAACACGGAGCTTCCACAGTACGACAAACTGACAGATAAATGGTGGCTGAATGCCCTAAGGAACTCCAGTGTCTGCCTGACTGGTTGCAGGTAGTTTCATATCTTAGCCTGAGTTCTGAACTTGGCACATGGAAGTTGAATTCCAAATTTCAGTAGGAAAAGGTGGCTAGTCATTAAACTTCAGTCACCTGTTGAAATGCCTGAATAACAACAAACAAAGCAGCGCTTGTAAATAATCAAGTGTCCAAGAGAGTTATCCCTACAAGGTGAAAGGGAAGAAGGGTTTAGCACTGCTCTAAGTGATAGACAACGGCAGTTTGCAGCACAGCATGTGCACTTCGACTTCCACAATCCTCTTGAGGAATTTGAGAGAAGTTCAGAAAGTAATACCCTCACTAATACATCTTTAGCCAGTTGCTGTTGAATTGATTCTGAATAGCGGTTACATCATATGTCTTAGGGTAGAGCTGTGCTCCATAGGGCTTACAGTGGCTGCGTTTTGGGAAGTAGATCAGTAGACCTTTCTTCCAAGGTATCTCAGAGGAACTTGAACCTCCAACTTTTAGTGCAATATCTGTTACTTATGAACATATATGAGGCAAGAAAAGAGTTGGGACACGTTTCCTATTTTAATTACTATACATCAATCTATCTATGCAGACTAATAAACAGAATTCTCCTTTTTATGAGATGTAAGTATAAACAAAATAGTCGGTTCTTCCCTACCTGTATGGGTTTCCCAGTAATAGGATTCATCACTTCTCCTGCAGAAATTCTCATTCCCAATGCAAAATTAGCCACTCTTTGAGCATGGCTGCCAACAGGCACTGGCACACCGCCGACCACCATATATGCATCTCCGATGGTTTCCACCTATACGGGAAAATGTCAGGAAGGTTTCTCAGTGCACTAAACATATTAATGAACATTATCATTTCCCACATTGAAAAACAGACCATACGAATAGTTCCGATTATTTTCTAGGGGGTGTGACATATTAAGAATGAGGCAAGTTGTCTCTGGAAAGAACTATGAGCTTCTGGTGGAAACCAGTCCCAGGGGAGATGAAATTCCTAGGGTGGCCATATGATGTATATATGAATAAACATATTGTTCAGATTAAACTTTCTGTTCAATAGAAGGAGTACCAAGCACCATATTAGCCCTCAATACTGCAAAAGGATTCACAAAAGTTACAATTCCTAAAATACCTCCAGTTCCCTCTTAGCCTTTTCTCCTCACCCCACTCTCGCCCTCACTGTGATTGTGAAATTTAAGTGCCAACTAGGCTAAGGTGGCCAGTTGTTTGGTTAAAAAATAGTAAAGATGTCGCTGTGAAGGTATTTTGTTGATGTGCTTAAGAGTGACAATGACTTGATTCTTAGTAAAACTTATTATCCTAATAATGTGGGATGACTTCATGGTTTCAAATCAGGAAAGGTGTGTGTCAGGGTTGTATCATCTCATCAGACTCATTCAATCTGTCTGCTGAGCAAATTCTCAGAGAAGCTGACTTATATGAAGAAGAATATGGCATCAGGATTGGAGGAAGGTTTATTAACAACTTAAGATATGCAGATGACACAAGCTTGCTTCCTGAAAGTGAGGAGGACGAGACCACCAACTTCAGTGTGGACTGCAATTCAATGTGCAAAATCCCCACAATGGAACTAACAGGTAATATCATGATAAACGGAGAGAAGGTTGACGTTGTCAAGGATTTCATCTTTCTTGAATCCACAATGAATGTTCATGGAAGCAGTAGTCAAGAGATCAAAAGACACATTGCCTTAGGTAACTCTGCTGCACAAGACCTCTTTAGAGTACTGAAAAGCAAGGATGTTACTCTGAAAATTAAGGTGCACCTGATCCAAGTCATGCTATTTTCCATCATTTTATATGCATGTGGTAGTTGAACATTGAATAAGGCTGGCTGAAGAGAATGGATGCATTTGAATTGTTGTGCAGGAGAAGAATATTAAAAGTACTATGGACTGATGAAAGGACAAACCGATCTGTCATGGAAGAAGTACAGTCAGAGGCATGGGTGGCAAGACTTCATTGGACATACTTGGACGTGCTGTCAGGGAAGAGAAGGACATGCTTGGTAAAATGGAGGGGCAGCAAAAACGAAGAAGGCTGTCAATGAGATAGTTTGACACAGTGGCTGCCACGATGGGCTTGGGAAAGATTGTGAGGCTAGTGCCGGTCTGGGCCCTGTCTTGTTTCGTTAAGCAGAGGGTCACAGTGGGTTGGAACTGACCGAATGGCACCTACCAACAGCAATGTGGGTGAGATTCAGCCAATCAGTTAAAGGCCTTAAAAACTAAGTCTGAGGTTTTCTAGAGAGAGGGAATTTTGCTTCAAGCCTGGAGAATAAAAATCCTTTCAGAGTTTCAATCCTGTTGCTTAGATAACAGATTTTTTGATTTGCCAGCCTTCACAATTGCTTGAACCAATTCCTTAAAATGAATCCCATGAAAAATATTGATATAGAACAATTCCATTGTTTTTTTTCATTCTATTTTTCCACAATTTTTGAGGCCCCCTCATATATATATTACATATATATGTTTATATGAATATATTAGAGGACACCTAGTGATGTAGTGGTTGTGTGTTGGGCTGCAATTCATGTGGTTGGTGGTTCAAAACTGCCAGCATCTCTGAGGGAGAAAGACTGGGTTTTCTACTCTCATTAACAGTTTACAGTCTCAGAAACCCACAGTGAAACACTGTGAGTCAGCATTGACTCAATGGTAGTGAGTTTTTTATGCATATAAAAATATACACACATATATGGAACATATATACATACATATACAGCAATGGAAATTTTCTGTGTGTCTGTACCTATATTTATCTAGCAATGGAATTTTTCTTTCTATCATTTTTTGAAACTCCCTTACATATGTATAATATGTATATAAAGAGAGGTTTGTGAGGTCTCCATGTCACTGATATATATCGATCTCTCTCTCTCTATAGACAGATACAGATATAGATATATAGAGATACATATCAGTCATGTAGGTATATAGTCATCATTACCGAGTGGGTCTGACACATGGTGATTTTATGCGTGTCAAAGTAGAACTATGCCCTATAAGGATAATGTTTTCAATGACCAGTTTTGGAAGTACATCACCAGACCTTTCTTCCAAGGAGCCTCTGGGTAGATGTAAATCTCTATACCTTTCAGTTATAAGCCAAGTGTATTCATTGTTCCCATCACACAAGTACTCTGTTCCCTCTCTCTCTTTCATACACATACATGTATATAACATATGGGTTCTAGTTCTCTTGAGAACCCTGACAAATACAACCCAAACCCAAAGCAGTGAGGATGCAATGAAAGATTTATATTCAAGTTCCTGTATTTCCTGAGCACAATGAAGTTTACCCCATAGTACCAAACACGTACTTTGTAGACATCGTGGACACTGGTTAACCTGTCAAACTTGGAGTACATGGAATTCAGCATATCCACTATGTGAATAGGTTCACAAGCAGCACAGATGTTAGTGAAGGTCACCACATCACTGAAAAGAATGGTGCAGGTTTCAAATTCTCCTGCAACAGAAGCGCAGTATCAGTGGCAGCAAAGGAAGCAGAATAATCATTCCATGAATGCTTGACCCGAATGCTCTTTGGAAGTCAAGACTTCCTAGGCATGGGGGGAAAGGAACTGGATGCCATAGCAGACATTTCCCAAGTCCTACTATGACCTAGTTCTCATACCAGGAGCATCACACACACACACACACACACACACACACACACACACGCACACGCACACACGCGCGCGCGAATAGACTGGATCTCTGAAGCAGTAGAAGAATTAGTTCAGTGACGTTAACAGAAGAACAAACAAATCATCATAAGCGGCTTAGAGTGGGTGCTGGCTCAAAGGAACCCCCTAAAGGAGAGCCATGGAAGAACCTTGAACTGCAAGAAATAAAGGGCCACGGCTGGTAGAAACTGACCACCATGGAACGGTGGGGTTCCAAATCTTTGCATGGCTGGGAGCCTACCATATATTCCTAGCTTGTCCCATGCTTCCACTTCTGTTGCTGTTACCTGCTAAGGAGCTGGTCTTCAACTCATGGAGACCCTATTTAAATGCAGTGGAACATTGCTAGTCCTATGCCATTCCCATGGTTGGCTGGGGATCAGACTGTTGTGATCCACAGGGTTTCACTAGTTGATTTCAGAAACAGATCACCAAACTTACTTCCTAAATCATCTTAAGGCCGGAAGTTTTCCAGAAACATGTTTAGCATCACAGTAACACACAGCCTCTGACAAACTGTAACCAAACCTCAGTCTTGCCTGGAAGATGAGACTTCTATCATCGAACCACCACTGCCTTAATATTTCCACATAGCATCCATATAGTCTGTAAGTCATGTTCTCTCCTGGCCCCAGCTAGACTTCTCTATATCAAGCCCTCCACAATTCCTATCATAATTAAAATAGAATAGAAACCGTTACCAAGGCCCACAGGGCCTTTAGGGTGTGGTCGCACTGCTCTTTGATTATGCCCTCATACTACCCCCGTCACTCTCTCTCTCTAAGCCACACTGGCCACCTTGGTGGCCTCCGTAGACCTCTCCAGCCCAACACTTCTAAGTAGACCTTCTCGTCTTCCCATCAAGCCCGCTCTTCTATCTGGTTCAGCCTAAGGATAAAGCAGCACTTCTTCTTTTTCTTGTCCTCCTCATCCTATCAATTATGAATCCTGTTGATGTCTGCTCAGGCTGCCTTCGTGTAGGATGCAGCGTGGACTTCCTGCCTATCTCAGGCCACCAGGTCCCTTACCCTGCAGCCAGAATCCTATGTATAAAACAAGTCGTGTCACTTCCGTTATAGGAGGAAAAGATGTCAGTGAAACTGGCTACCAAATAAAAAGCAACTTTCTCCTGTATCCTCATGTTCTAGGATAATTACTTTCATATTGCCTTATTTTTGCCCTTGGAATCCCCTTTGCCTGGAGAAGACATAGTTGCTGTAGCAAAGTGTGGTGAAGAAACTAGAAGGTGCCAGTTATCAAAAGACAAGCATCTGGAGTCATAGGCTTGTTTTTAAACAAGCAGCCATCAAAGTGAGGGGTCAACTAAGTCCATATAGAAGAAGTACACCAACCTATGTGATCCAAGGATTGTACATGATAAAATCCAAATCTGAAGGAGGGAATGGGATGAGAGCTTAAAACATGAACATCTTGTTTGTAGGAGGCTATGTATGACAATGGAAGCACAAAATTCACTTGCAGGTCTCTACGTGGATTAAGCCTCTGCTGAATTCCTTCTGACCATAGTCAAAGAATGGCTTTGCTATCAGATAAAGAGCATTGTAACATCAATTACAGCAGCTGGAATTAGTTTAAAAATGTGATATCTTATCATCTGATGTCCCTTTGACCCATTTTAAAGTTATTTCCATATTTTAATACTTTCTGCTTTCTTTTCGATTGAGGGGCTTTTATGTTTTGTCTCTTTATTATTGTTGTTGTGTTTGCTTGCTTGCTTGCTTCCTGTCTGTGTTCAGTGTGGTTTTCTGTGTATAAAACCTAGAATAGATAGATCAGTAGAAACAGTAACTGGATTGATAATTGCCTAAGGGCATGGCAGAGGAGGATGGGGAAGAATGGGTTGCTAACAAGGGGTACAAGAAGAATATGTTCTACCAGTGATTGTCATGATAATGGGACCAATCTTCTTAATACAATTGAACAGTTAAATTGTATGCTATGTGAAGTATAGCCCAATAAAACAATATTAAACACACACACACACACACACACACACACACTCAGGATTGCCTGATTTCACAACTTGGGTCCCAACCCCCTAAGGCACACAGCCCAGGGAGGGGAATGTGTGCAGTACCTGCAGCGACCTTTTTGCCTTCCTTCAGCTGGTTGGCCACGTGTTCAGGCAGCATGGCATACAGCAAGGTCTCTGTTTTCTTCTTCTCTAGGGCCAGGTGCTTAGAAAGGACCCGCAGCTCTTCCTTCTTCCTCTCCAGCTGATTGGACAGCTCAATCTCAGCCAGCCGCTGCTGGTTCAGGAGAATGAGGTCCCTGGTGGTATCATGGGGTGAGATGTCAGAAAGGTGCATCTTGTGCTCCTCCAGCTCCTGCAGGCTGCGCAGCTTTGGAGAACACATGTACAGCATGCACCTGATGGACTCCATCCAGATCATTTGGCCTTTGTGGAGGAAAAGGCAACAAGAGAGGACATCACCAAGAGGGACCTTCATCGGGCAACTTTATACACGTGGTAGCATGTGCAGGTCCCAGAAAGTGCAACTTGTTTATGGTTGGCTAAAAGGTTTGTGGTTCAAACCCACCCACTTTCTGAGCAATCACCCAAACAGGCAGGGTGATTTCCTACCTCGAAGTTTGAGTGTGGGCTTCATTTTCCATGCTTCGGGCATCATTTTTCTTCGTGTTTTCAGGACAAATTGACTGTTGATGAATTTGCAGATGTTGGAAATGTTGAAGGTCACTTGGGGATGAATGATGGAGAAATAGTCATCTAATTGAATCTTCTGGGTTTGAAGTCCTGGAACAAACTTCTGAATATTCACTCCAGCTTGCTTGACCCTCAGCTGCACATAGAGGACAGATATCAGACTGGGGATTAGAAAGCAACCGACGGCATCGGCTTTTCCTTGGTAGAAACATTCTGGAGATGGTTTGTCACTCTTTGTAGGGGGAGGACAGCCTGCTTCAAGGATTTAATAATAATGGTAGGTAGGTAGGTAGTGATTTAATAATGTCAGTGGGTTCAGTAATATCACAGAAAACCACAATAGTTGCAGGCATTTTCAAGGATTTTTGTTACCACATATTTTGTCTATTTGACCTTTACATGATTTAAAAATCAATTCAGTTAGCATAAGTACTATCCAAGGAAATTGATGAAAATAAAACCTCAATAAGCATTCTCACAAGCCCTAGAATGGTGGCGTAAGGTAGGCATAGACCTCCCCTCCTGCAAACATGCAGCAGCGAAGCTGGGTGGAACTGAGCATTCGCGACATTGTCAGGTAAGAGTTGGACTGTTGGTGGTCCAAATCAACTTGCTGGCAGTGTATTATTATTATTATTTTAATGCTGTGGCCACAAGAATGATAAATGGTGAGGTATAGAACTCCACCATGTTCCTGGGGTGAAGGGATTAGGCTGCTTAGAGCAAGACAGAACTATTAGGCACTCCATGAGAGAAAGACAGGACCATCTGCTTTCAAAAAGATTCACCATTTCAGAATCCCTTTATAGGGTTGTGCTGAGTCTGAACTGACTCGATGGCTGTGGATTTGGTTTATTGTGAACACCTGATTTTCAGAAGGCCACGAGTGATAGTGGAAGCCCAAAATACATTTACAGGATCCATGCATGGATTAAGCCTCCAGTGAATCCCCTCGGACCATACTAGAGGGATGTGAATAGCCTTGTTATCAGTGAGCATTGTAAAGTTGATTATGGCAGATGTAGTTAGGTTAAAATATAACACCTTATCATTTGATCTCCCTTTTGATTCATTTTAAATTTGTTCTAGTTTTTAGTAATTTCTGCTTTCTTTTTTATTGATATTTTTTTCTGTCTTACTGTGCTGTTATTGAATTTTTTGTTTTGTTTTGGGGGGTATGTTTTTCTGTATATGAAATCCAGGATAGGTAAATATATAGCAATGGTAACTAAATTAATTCTTTCTTGAGACTATGGCAGGAGAGGTTGGAAGAAAATGGGTTGTTAATAACAATGAGTACAAGAAAGAAGAAAATGTTTTAAATGTGATTGTGGTGATGATTGTACCACAATTCTTAATACGATTGAGCTAGTGAATTGTAAGCTTTGTGAATTATACACCAATAGAACTTAAACAAACAAACAAATGTTGGACTTCTAACTGCAGGTTTGGTGGTTCACACCAACAAGCTGGTCTTCAGAAGAAATATGAGGCTATCGGCTCCTGTGCTGATTTTCCGTTTCAAAAACCTTATATATAGAGAGAATCAGCTCAGTGGTAGTGACTTTGGTTTGGTTTGGGTATTACTACTAACTGTCTATCTCTTTAAGAAGTGAATTTTAGTGTCATTTCCTTTCTTTCTAAAGGCAAACCGTATGACTCAAGTATTGGTTTAAACCCCTTGGCGTTGCACCCTTACAACTTCCAGAGCAGAAGCCATTGGCCGTTCTGTCAACTCGGACTTGGGTGACCCCATGTGTGTCGACCCTGTTGCTTCAAAGGGTTTCCAATAACTGATCTTTCAGAAGTAGATTGCTGTTTCTTTCTTCTGAGGGCGGCTTGAACCATCAATCTTTTGGTCAGCAGCCAGGCTCCTAGACTGTTCGCACCACCTAGACTCCACTTCTCGAGAAGATCTTGGATTGTGGTTTCTGGAGGAGGCTACCACACACACGGTGCACTTGAACTGTGGATCTGGAGAAGATCATTGAAGGTGCCTGGGACTGCTGAAAGGACAAAGAAATCTGTCTAGGAAGAAGTTTTGCCAGAGTGCTCCTTAGAGGGAAGGGTGGCGAGACTTTGTCTTACATACTTTGGACATGTTGTTAAGAGAGACCGGTTCCCTGGAGAAGGACTTCACGTTTGGTAAGGTTGAGGGGCAGTGAAAAATAGGAAGGCCCTCAAAGGGATGGGTTAACACCATGGCTACCACAATGGGGTTCAAGCATGGGCACAACTATCAGGATGGCCTAGGATGGGGCAGTGATTGGCTCTGCTGTGCGTAGGGTTGCTATCGGTCACAACTGACCTGGTAGCGCCTAACAATAACGCCAAAAAGAAAGTTAGTGGTCCTGCCGGGCTATCATCTAACAGCCGTGCCTTGGGAACTTTAAGAGATTTGCAGTTTCGCACTTGCCATAAAAGACAAGACGTTCTTTCCTTACCAGTCTCTTTCCAAGTCCAAGCTTACCGATTCATCAAAAACAACGTGGAAGGGAAAAGCATTGCAGAATGTTTTCACCTCAATCCAGAGTCTCTCCGGATAAGCTGCCTCAAAGGTGTTCATGAGATGCCCTGGGTGAGGAACAAAGGGTGTTTTGGTGAGACGCCATTTCACCTCACCCTCACACCAAACAAGTAGGCTTGAGCCTGTCTCTGGTGTTTAACGGGCAAAGTGCAGGCTCCCTTTAGCACGGTCTCCCTCATGTCTGCAGACGGCCATGGTAATTCTTGTTTCCAATGAAAGCAAACAGAAAACTTGCTACCCGGTGGTGAAATCTGCCTGCCCCTGCCAAGTTTCTGCCCAGGGCCGAAGAGCTTCTGGCCCAATTGAGTATGCCTCTCCATGAACACAGAGTCGGCACTGGCACCATGACAGCCAGACACTGAGGGCGCAGAGTGGAGCCTGTGTGTCCGGCCTGGTGTCAGGGACATTTGCCATGGAACAGGGGAGACTGACAGTTTTCACCAACAGCCCTCTTTGGCAGTGGAGGGAAGATTCAGAAAGGAGCCTTTTTGATATGAAAATCTCCTTGACAAAGGATGTCAATTGCATGTTTGACTCACTTGCCATAGCTTGAAGACTGAAAATGCAGTCCTTTGAGTTCTGTAGAACTTGTCCCAGATGCATGCTGTCAGGACCCATTAGGACCCAGAGAGGAATGGGCTCCCAGCCCTCCTCCTCCCAGGGAACCAGAGTCCTTATTCAGACCCAGGCATCAGAGTGCTCAGTGCTGCTGGGGTCCGCAAACAGCCGGCTGCCTTCATTTTGCAGATGAGATGAAGGAGGACCAGACTTGTTGGGGGCCTGGCAGAAATCTACCTTCCTCGTTTGGGGGCCAGTTCCCTTTGCCTACTGGATGACCATAGTTATACCCACCAGGGCTTCCCGTCATTTCCTCCTTGTTCCGCCATAGCCAATTGAAAAATAGACTCAATTTTTAAAAATATGGGTGAATGGAAACAAAAACTAGAATGGGGAAAACTGTGGATCAAGAATATGCTAGAAAGTTAATCTCCCTCTTACAAAACAACAGTGTGTACACTCCAGAGCAAACCAAATCTCCTGATTGGCAGAGTCAAAAGCAGCAGTGTCCTGTCGCCGATGGGATTGCTTTGAATGTGTGTTGATCTCCACCGTACTGGGAATAATTGAATCTCCCACACGAGGCGCTTACAAATGCTCATTATGCCTCTTTGGGGTCTCCCATTGCAGGGCTTCTACCTGAAAGTTTCCCCACTCTCGCTGTCATTCTACTTCATGCAAATTCTAAAAATGAGGTTCTGTTCTAACCCCACCCTACTCCCACCTCCCACTGGCCCTAACTGAGTCAGTTTAAACTAGTTTGAAGTCCTTGTATCTACAGACGCCTGGCCTAGAAGTGTTTTCCAATCAAGAAGGCCAGAATCTAGAAGGAGCCGTGGGACATGCATTGTTCTGAGTAATATTTCACTATTCAATTTCCTTTTCAATATCGTCCCTGAGCTAGGACTGCTTCAACTCCATGAGTACAGGGAGCTGGGGGGCTAGGTCACACACAAATACCAGAGGCAAAGCTCTCTCCCTGTTTTTCTGCCCCGGACCTAGAGACTGAATGCTTTAAAGTTAGAGAACCATGCCAACCAGGCCCACGCTCCCAATTGCTCAGTAGCCGCATAGTTTTGGAGGACTCTGTGCCGCTGCCAGCCCCAAGAGTGTGCACCGTTCCTCGGGCTGCGGGAACACAGCAACGATTCCACTCTCAGAGCTGAGGCGGAGGTCGGGCTTGCTCACCTTTTCCAAACATGACTATGCTTCTCACGAGATTCCAGCGGGATCTCTTCACAGGGCAAAGAGAGACACGCAGATATTTCTCCTTCATGCTACGAAAAGATGCCCCGAGGGCCTGCAGAGCACAAGGAAGGAGGAGGGGGTTGGCCTCACACGTCCAGAACTGGCCCCTGCGCTCAGCGGGAAATCTCACTGCTTCTGCACCAGTGGCTGAGGAACAGCATGAGGTCTTGTGAGGTCACTTCCACCCAAATTTGAGAAGCTCTCAGGCTTTATCTAAATAATTCTTGTGCTTGTCCTATAGTAAAGACTGAAAAACAACAACAAACCAATGACAAAAAAAAACACAACAAGAAATAAAAGCTTGTAGTTAGTTCAAGGACTGTTTGTTGACTTTTAGGAGTGTTTTTGTCATTGGTTTGTAGTTGTTGTTGTTTTGTTGTATATTGTTGCTTGGTTTTGCTCTGTCTTGTTTTTGTGCATGTTATTATCTCTGCAGGTCTGCCTAAATAAGATAGGCTGCATGAAGAATCTGGAGGAGAAAACAATGGAATTGACAGTTCTGGGGAGACATGGGAGAGGGGGAGGTGGGGGGAAGGTAGTGGTGTTAACAAACCCAGGAACAAGGGAAAAACAAGTGATCCAAATCGGTGGTGCGGAGGGTGTAGGAGGCCTGTAGGGCATGATCAAGGGTAATGCAACCAAGAGGAATTACTGAAACCCAAATGAAGACTGAGCATGATAGTGGGACAAGAGGAAAGTCAATGGAAATTGAGGAAAGAGCTAGGAGGTAAGGGTATTTATAGAGGTCTAAATAAAGGCATGTACATATGCAAATATATTTATATATGAGAATGGGGAAATAGATCTATGTGCATATACTTATAAGTTTAGTATTAAGGTAGCAGAGGGACATTGGGCCTCCACTCAAACACCCCCTCAATACAAGAATATGTTCTTCTATTAAATTGGCATTCTATGATGCTCACCTTCCCAACACAACCTTTGAAGACAAAGCAGGTAAATAAGCAAATGTGGTAAAGAAAGCTGATGGTGCCCGGCTATCAAAAGATATAGCATCTGGGGTCTTAAAGGCTTGATGGTAAACAAGCGGCCATCTATCTCAGAAGCAACAAAGCCCACATGGAAGAAGCACATCAGCCTGTGCGATCATGAGGTGTTGAAGACATCAGGTATCAGGCATCATCAGAACAAAAAATCATATAGTGAATGGGTGGGGCAGTGGGGAGGGTGCGGGTGGCAGGGAGGGGGGAGTGCTGAGTGGAGACCCAAAGCATTTGTAGGTCACTGGACAGACATTCCCTTATGGAAGGGTCTCGGGGAGGAGACGAGCCAGTCAGGGTGTGATGTAGCAACGATGAAACATACAACTTTCCATAAGTTCCTAAATGCTTCCTCCTCCTCCACTATTATGATCCCAATTCTACCTTACAAGTCTGGCTAGACCAGAGGATGTACACTGGTACAGATAGGAACTGAAAATACAGGGAATCCAGGGCAGATGATTCCTTCAGGACCAGTGGTGAGAGTGGCAATACTGGGAGGGTGGAGTGAGGGTGGGTTGGAAAGGGGGAACCGATTACAAGGATCTACATGTGACCTCCTCCCTGGGGGAAGGACAACAGAAAAGTGGGTGAAGGGAGGTGTCGGACAGGCCAAGATATGACAAAATAATAATTTATAAATTATCAAGGGTTCATGAAGGAGGGGGGAGCGGAAAAGGAGGGGAAGAAATGAGGAGCTGATGCCAGGGGCCTAGGTGGAGAACAAATGTTTTGAGAATGATGAGGGCAATGAATGTACAGATGTGCTTTATACAATTGATATATGTATGGATTGTGATAAGAGATGTATGAGCCCCTAATAAAACAATAAAAAAGGCTGAAAAGCAACAACAACAAAAACCTCATCCAAAATCTCAGGTGGGGACCTGGGAGGATGTCTGGCAGGGTAATTGAAGAGAAGGAAGTCTTCTCTTCCTTTGGTTGAAGATTCTGCCTGTGAACAGATTCTGAGGTAATCTTTGAACACCAGGAAATATAAACACCCGTGCTCTGGAAAGGACAGACTCATCTGTATATTTGTGCATGCTTTGTGAGCACAGAGAACTGCACACCTGATCTACAGGTGGTCACTATCCAAGTAAAGAGATATCTGGATACTACACATAGTAACACACACAGCTACTAATTGAAAGGTTGGAGGTTTGAAGCCACTGAGAGGCATCTCAGAAGAAAGTTCCAGTGAACAATTTCCAAATAATGAGCCCCTAAAAATTCAGTGGAGTCTGCTCTGACATACGTGGGGTCCTGATGGATCAAATCAGCTAGATGCTAACTGGTTAGTTTTAAACAGGTTACCTTTAGAGTTGAAGTTCAGGTGGCCAAGCACAGAGTCTTAAGTTGACTCTCGATGCATGACTGGCCCCCATTGTGCATGTAGGCCCTGGGTCCTTAAAAGTCCTTTTTAATTTGGTTTGGTAAGGGAATTGCAAAATAAGCCATCAGATGCAAATGTCAAAGCTTTTCTACTCATATTTTTGTAGCTAAAAATCGTTGAGGCTCTGGTGCATCCCAGAAAGACTCTCAATGTGTTCCCGGGGTGAAGGTTAAGTTTACGAGTCGACTTGGCTAGGCTTTTCTGTCCAGTTGTTTGGTCAGATTCCAGCCCAGATGCTGCTGTAGAGGATCTTGTGGATGTGATTGACTATCAGTCAACTTTAAATAAAAGAGATTACCTTTGAGAATGCTGGTGAGTCTCATCTAATCAGTTGAAGGCCTTAGAGGAAAAACTAAGGTTTCTGAGAAAAGAAATTCTAGCCCAAGGCTGGAGCACAGAAATCCTGCCTGAATTTGCAGCCTACCAGCCTGTTCTATGGATGTTGGACTCAACCCTCAACATCCACTCTCACCTCAGCTTCCAACCTGCTGTCCTGCCAGATGTCGGGCCCAACTCACAGCGACCCTATAGGACAGAGGACCACTGCTTCATAGGTTTCCAAGGCTGTAACTCTTTAGAGATCAGATAGCCTCAGCTTTTTCCCAAGGAGAAGCCACTGAGTTCAAAACACCAACCTTGCAGTGAGCAGTCCAATGCTTAACCACCCACGATGCCAAACACATAGGCCAACCCCTTAAATAAATTCAATCTCTCTCTCTCTGTATCCATATTTCCTATTGTTTCTGTTTCTCTGCAGAGACCTAACCTAATATACCAGATTAACTTAACCCATTAGTTCTCATACAAGGGCATTTTTCTCCCTTCCCCTTCTGAGAAGATATCCGGCAATGCTTAAGACAGGAGGGGTGAGGGGAGAGTGTTATGTGCGCCTAGCGGGTAGAGGTTGGGATGTGGCTAAATACCTGACAATGCAAAGGACACCTCTCAACCCCAACAAATTTCTAAATGTCCATAATAGCAATATTGCCAAGGTAGAGAAACCCTCCCTCAACCCTGCTAGCAGAAGGCCCAGTTGATTCTGTTCTTTGCATAACTGATTCAACTTATGGAGAACCATGTTTTCTCAACAGCAGTACACACAGTACCTCTTGATCTTGATGGGCCTCCTGGCCTTCTTGTGATCCATCTGGCTTTGCTCTTCTCATCTGTCTGTGGGGTTTCTGCACAACAAGAAATACAACATGCTCCCTCTTCCCTGTCCTCTCTTCTTCCTTATTCATGTCAAGGATATCCATGGTCACGTCAATGTCAAAAAAGTCCTCAGCCACCGCTTCAAGTATTCCTGCAGTAGAAGAACACCGATTGGCGAGTGGCAGCACCATTCATAAAGTGTTCAAGTTACACAGCTCCTGAGGGAGTCCCGGAGCTCATCAAGCCTGAGCCCTGCCTTGGACAGGTCGTATGTGACAGGTAAAAAAAAGAAACTATGTACTGATTTAAGTTACATATGCCTGCTATCTATGTATCCCTCCCACTCTAATTTATTATTTAACATCTGTTCCTTTACTTTCTTATTTCAGGAAGGCTGTAAATTAATTGAATAAACAACTGAACAGACACAGTTTTCTTGTTTTTTAACAAATTTCAGATACAAAAGCATTAAAAAGTATTCACTTGGGAATATATCTCAGGGTTATAATCTAAAGCATGGAGAAAACATGCATGAAGCTATTCATCTTGGCATTGTTTAGAAATAGAAAAAGAGTAGTGTCAACTCATTGTTCAACAATAGAGGACTGGTTGATATCATTCCAATGTGGAGTATCACCCAGCCACTTAGGATGGCAGTGTGTGACTCTGTGAAAAGCAGAAAGATACCTTTTCTACACTGCTGGAAAACAGCAACAGCAACAACAGCTGACAACAAATCCACTGCTATTGAGTCATAGTGAACTTACATCAGGTTCTTTATGAGAACAGATCGCTTTCCCAGGGGGACGAACAACAGAAACGTCGGTGAAGGGAGACAGTGGCCGGTGTAAGATATGACAATAATAATACTTTATAACTTATCAAGGGGTCATGAAGGTGGGAAGGGGGTAGGGAGGGAAAAAAGAGGAGCTGATACCAAGGGCTCAAATACAAAGTAAATGTTTAGGAAATTATGATGGCAACATATGTACATGTATGCTTGATACAATTAATATGTGGAATGTTATAAAAGCTGTAAGAGCCCCAATAAAATGTTTTGTTTTTTCTTAATCTGTAGGATCCCCCAATAAAATGACCTTAAAAAAAAAAGAACAGATAGCTTCACTTCATTTTTATTTTGTAGTATCTGATACATTTAAGCCACTCCTCCGTGGTTAACAGTTCAACGCTTAGCTGACAGCGCCACCAACTGACACAAAACAACATGGAAAATTATTGTTTCCTGTTGCTAGACTCTATTGACACCTTATGTGTGAAACTATATTTTATGTATCAAAACACGGCCAGTTCTGCACCACCTTCATGATCGTTGGTATGGTTAAGTCCATTGCTGCAGCCATTGCACAGTGTATTCCAACCTGGGGGCTCATCCTCCAGCAATATGGGACCATACAATCGAAAACGTCTCTGAACTGATATGCAGTCCCTTCTTGCTAGCCGGTAGTCATCAAGGAGCTGCACTAAAACCACAGGTAATATCCTGCCAGCATAACGTTTAGCGCTGCACCAACACAGAAGCCTTGGCAATACAAAAAACAGACAGGTACTGGGCAGAATTATTACAATTCTAAAAAAAAATAGCATCATAATCAAGAATGTTAGAAGAGGAACAAAAATTTTGGGAGTCACAGTGGAGATGTTACGGAGCCAGACTTCATAAGAGATTGAGCTTTAACTCTCTGCCCATAACATAGCTGACTACTAGCCATCCTGAATAATATGTAGGGATGCTTTGCTCATTCCAAAAGCCATGTACCTTTACGACTGGTTCAGACATGTCCATACCTGGAACAATGTGACACAGACCACTTCTATCAGAGTAGTAATGGAGAAGCATTTTCCCATCTGCTCCTTTCTCCACGCGGAATGATGGTGCATTCATCTCCTAATTAAAAACAAAACACGTTTTCCTCAGTGAATGCTAGTTGTATCAAGTCCACTTTGAGGGTCTATAAAACAACAGTATTCATATACTACATTACACAGAACTCAACTGCCCCCCCCCTCCAGTTACATAAGATAAACTACCATGCTTTGGGCATGGTATTTGTTGTTGTATTTGTTGTTGGCTGCTTTTAAGTAGGACCCAACTCAAGACAACCCCACGCCCAAGGAAAGGGCATGCTGCCCAGTCCTGCACCATCCCCGTGATCAATGATGGATCAGACCAATGTGCTTCATAGATTTCTCAGTGGCTGACTTCCAGAAGTAGATCAACGGGCTGTTCTTCCTAATCTGTCTTACTTTAGAAGCTCTCCTGAAATCTATTTGGCATCATAGCAATATTCAAGCTGAAAGGGACACACAAGTGGTGGCTCACTAAAGTGCATTGGTTGGATATTGAATCCAGTCCTCTCACACAGGAGGCAAAAACTCTGTCTCACCCTATATGTTAGAAACTTTATAATCCCCAAGTATTATATGCCAAGTATTATCTCCACCTTGAAGAGAAAACAGAAGCTCAGAGAAGTTAAAGTTAAAATTAATGACAGAACAACATTGGAGTCACAAATTAGCTCTTCTACCCTGCCATGCTGCTTTTGTCCCATACTCTAGCACAGAAAGTCTCAATCTTGCATGGCCTATGACCAAACGACCACAAGTATCTTCATTCACAGACACGAGGCTCCAAGTAGTTGCACGTACAGAAGAGTTAATTTCTTGTTCTGTAAGAATGTCACCTGACCTTCAAAGGTCCTCACTCAGAGAAGAGTCCACTTGTATAGACCAAACACTGATATAGTGGCTGGTCCATAGTGTATTCTAATGTAGCATAACCTCTCCCTATAATATAATTTAATGTGATATAAGCAATCGATTGGAAAGACAGCTTCCTTCGGGTGCATTCTGCTTTCTGACAATCACTATGTAAATCTTTGGCAGAATTCAATCATCTCTTTCCTCCAGGGCTCTGACTGGTGAGTCTTAACTGGCCTTATGGTTAGCTGCCCAAGGCCGAAATCACAGCACCGCTGGGCTCCATTGAGATATAGGTAGATAAAAAGAGATCTTTGACTAAGACAAAACCTTCAAGGATACGTCAGAAACCAATATTCTCTGAGAAGAAAGTTGATTTTCAAGTTTGCACCACCTATATTAGGAAATAAGAACAAAGACCTTCCCTGGAGGGCACTTTCTATACAGAAATGTCCTCTCATTTTAGGCAACACAGTATCCAAACCACACAGCATTCCGTTGGAGTAAGGCAAGAGTTGAAGGCAACTGGCCTTTTCTATGGCGGAGGGCTGCTAATGAATCGGGTTTCTTTTCTCCGGCTGCGGAGCAGGGTGTGAGGAGCCTGCTATCTTGCAGCATGCATTGGAAGATGGATTATTGCAGATGCGGTCAGGTTAAAATTTAACACCTCATCATTTGATCTCCCTTTTGATCCATTTAAAATGTTTTAAATATGTTTAATATTTAATATTTTAATATTTTCTGTTTTCTTTTTGATTGGAGTTTATAATCTGTCTTGCTTATTTATTGTTGTAGTTTTTAAAAACTTTTTTATGCATATGAGCTCCAGGATAGGCAAATCTATAGAGACAGTAACTGGATTAATGGTTCCTTGTGGGTGTGGCAGGGGAGGTTGGGGAAATGGAGAGCTATTAATGATGAGTGCAAGAATGATGGAAATGTTCTAAAATTAATTGTGGTGATTATACACCTTTTTAATCTGATTGAACTATTGAATTGTGTGACATGTGAGCTTTTTTTGGTTCAAATATCTATTTTGGTTCAAATAGCTATTTTTATATTTTCAAAAGTATGCGTAGAGAAAGTAGATCTGTTTTTATGTGTATGTGGTTCCATTTGGATTGAATCCAGAGTATTTGGCGCAGCATATATAAGAGCATGTGATAAAATAAAATTCTAAAAGCATTTTAAAGAAATTATATCACATGTCTACCTATCAGAAAACCAAACCCACTGCCATTGAGCCAATTTTGATCTCCTGTGATGCAACCAGATAGGGTGCAACTTACCTGTTGCAGGATGTCTAAGACTGTAAATCTTTCCAGGAACAGACAGCCTCACCTTTCTTCTGAGAAGAGCTAGCTAGTGGGTTTGAATCACTGACATTGCAGTTAGCAGCCTGGCCCTTAATCCACTGTGCCACAAGGGCTCTTAAAATTATACACAGCGAAAATAAAATCACCGAGTCCAAGAGGGCTTCATTGAAAATACTCTCAGGAAAGGTAGCAGGTGGGAAAGAAAACATAGGACTTGGGACTTGAGAGGTTAAATTCGTTTCACTCTTATTCATAAAGTGGACAGTAACATGTCGAGAACAATGTTTGGACCATGAAAGCCATTGCACGGAAACGTAACCGATTTAATGAATGAGTGGAAGGAAATCTGCATCTTCCCCATAACTGTGATGTAAAATACTAAGCAAATTGATGAAACAAATGAGATGTTTAAGCACATGAAAGATTGCTGCGAGACTTCACTCTAGTTCTTGATATTCTGATTGAAGCGTCTTCGCCATGCAAGGAAGCTGTGAAAGGAAGTGAGAAGAGGTGCACGTGCACGAGCAGCATGAAGACCTGGGCAAACTGAAGAGAACGAGAGGGAAGGGAAGGAAGGCACTGTCATTTGTGGGCTCTTCTTCTGGGGCCATCGCCACGCTTAGGACCCGCTCACGTTCTCTCTCGTAATCCACCCATCACGAGGAAGCGGGTTTTGGTTCTCTAGTTTTTAAACCTCTGTGTGTCTCTAATGCTTTCACAAAGCATTTTTCACTGCTAATCAATAAACATTAAGCAAACACATTGAATAATTGAGGTTCTAAGACGGCAAAGAACTTGCCAAGTTCACGTAGCTATTCAGGGCAGAGCTGCTAAGATGGACCTATCTGACCAGTGGTCAAGGCTTTTTCTGCTCACTCTACCCTTGAAAAGTTCAAATGATGATAACAGAACATGCCCAACTGTTCATTCTACTCGGAGTCACTTAAGTCGGTCAAAATTCAATCTGAAAAAAAGGAGAAAGTAGTAATTTTCTAATCTTGAGGGTGTGTATTGACTGCTGAGTTATTTTCACAGCATCATCTCATTTTATCCATGTGGCCTCCTTCTCAGGATGGTTATGACAGTTACATATACAAATGGTATTGTAAAAATCTTGGTAAGCTACCAAGTGCTCTAAAAAGAAATATAACCATTATTATGATCTGTGTAAATTCACTTCACCTTCTCAATAAAGCATTTTTAAAACAAGAACAAGGAACTTTGGCACTTGATTGCTAAAACCTGATCTCTACAAACAAGAAAGCCAGGAATGAACCGCAGAAAGACCTATCCCAACAGGGAAATTCGTTTCCTCACACCTCAGTCAGTAACCCCCGCGGGTTAATCAGAGGTGCTTGGGTTTCGATTCCTGCTCTTGGCCCTGTCAAGCCTGTCAAGGCCTGTTATTCACGAAGAACACGAATCTGGCTGCCTTAGCTATTTATCCGCTCCATTCAGCCCATGAAACCTAAGAGAGAGTAGTTTCTACAGAAACCTGACTGCATGTCACCTTTGTTTCCATTGTGCTCAAGCCCGACATTTCAGCCCAGCTTCAAACCCGTCCCTATCAGAACGCGCCATCATCCATCACAAGGCTGGGCCTCTTCGAGTGGCCCTTCTTTGATTTTTGCTGTCTAGTTTATAAAAGTGACCCACAGATATTTATTTACTATTCATTTCCCCACATGAATATTCAGTTCACTGGCAAAGTATGCCAAGGATTTGGCAGCAGATGGGGACCATGCTTTTGTAGCTAAAACTCTGCTATGGAGGATAAGTGAAGTCCACAACTTTCGTGGGCACTTGTTGTTGTTAGTCAAGTTGGCCTCCAACTTATGGTGACCTATTACCGCAATAAAATTGTACTGTTGTGACCCATGGAGTCCCACTGACTGGTTTTTAGAAGCACAGCAGGACTAGGGAGCCTTTCTTCCTAGTCTATCTTAGCCCGGAGATTCCACAGCATCATAATAACATGCATGGTTCCACAGCATCATAATAACATCATAATAACATGCATGGTTCCACAGTCGGGTGACGGCTGTGGCTGAAGCGCACTGGCGCCTCCTGAACCACCACTCTTTCACTGCTGGCATCTGCTTGCTGCAAATTTGCCCTGAAGAAGCTACCCAAGTTCCTTACCTGATAAGACAGTGCAAGGTAACTGTGGAGGGCATCCAGGTTTTCAATAAACTCCTCGAGATTTCCTCCCAGGGTCCGCAGCATCCTGTCATAGCCAGACATCTTACAGAACTTAAAGAAATGTCCTCCAAAGAGTTTCAGAACGGCTTCCATGGAGACATCTGTGGAATCCAAAGTACAACCAGCTAAGCAGTTAAGGCTGAGTCTGTTCTGACTCATCTCTGCCCTGTGTGTCAGACTAGACTGTGCTTCATAGGGTTTTCAATTGCTGGTAACGGCACGACTAGGGACTTTTTCCCTAACCCCCTCCAGAGGCTTTAAATACCACAGCCTCTAATCAGAACAAAAAGGCTCCCTCAGAGAAGTAAAGAATGGAAAAGAACTCTTACAACGTCATAATGTTCTAGTTTACCCAAAAGAGAATAAATGCCCAGTGCCTGAAATGACTTTCCCCATTTCCTTCACTCTTCCTGCCCCGCATTCCCTGTCAGCAGCAGCATCCGCATTACATCATCCGTAGGGATGGCTAATGAACATCCCAGACATCATAGACAACATAGTGTTGGGTTTTCCTCTTGTTCTTGGCTGCTCGTAAATCAGTGACCCCATCCTGCACATTTTCTGGGCTAGACACAGAGTACCAAAGAATAAAAAATAAAAATAAATGCACTGCCATTGAGTCAGTTCGGACTCCGGGTTGTGAGCCTTTACATCTCTGTAAGAGCAAACAGCCACATCTTTTCCCTGAGAGTAGCAAGTGGGTTTGAGCTGCCAATGCCTGACAGTGCTTAGCAGGGATCCTAGACATAGTGTACATGCTTAATAAAGACTTGCTGGAAGATTTGCAGTATCAGTGAGGGCTAGTGCTTCTATTGGCACTGTTGAAATAAATAGACAGTGTGTGACCATTTGCCTTAAAGGAGGGCAGCTAATGCGTTTTAGAATCTTTTAGCCCCATAAACACTCATTTGGCAGTGCGATTGTACTCGATCCTTGTCAAATCCTAGAAAGGTACATCTTTGTATAATCATCTCCCCAGCCAATGAGACCTCTAAGGTGAGATCACCTTTGTGAATTTCACCAAGTCCTACAGAGCAGGAAGGGGTTGCTCATTGGTTCTCATCATTGACGCAGGAGAGAGGGCAACCATGATTGCTTCTGGTCTTGAAGGAGTGACCAGAGCCACTGTGAGGTCTCCTTTTTCTACGTGGTTCTTCCGAAGTGCACATAAGAGGGGTGATGCATGGATTGATTGCATCACCCTGGGGAAGACTCAGCCTTCTGCTTCCTTGGCCTTGGACCCAGCAGTCCTCATGAGTTGAAGGACTTCCAGTATATTAATTGTTCCATGGAAGTGAGTTGAAATGAGCCCTCTGTACAGCTATGTGGACTAATTAGCTGCTATATTCCTTCGTGCTATATCTATCTATCTATCTATCTATCTATCTATCTATCTATCTATCATCTATCATCTATCTATATGATCATGTGTCCTAGTTTTGTTTCTTTAGGGAACCATGTCCAAAACATAGATAAAACCCTTTACAAGTGTTTTAACTATGGAAGTGTATAGTATGTGACTATTATATCAGGAAAACTTATGAAAGAAACCAAACTTGAATCTAGAAGAGAATCCTCAGAATCATGGGTAGAAGTTACAGAAGGGGAGATTTGGGTTCAAATGCTATGATAATTATATCATGAATGCTATATGAACCAGAGCTCAACAGAACTGTCTAATTTCTCTGGGTCTTACAAGATTTCTGCCTTTGTCTTTTCTTTCTTTAAAAAAAAATTAATTGGGAGTTAATACATTTATCATGTCATTCCATAGTTCAATCTCATCAAGCAAACTGTGTAATTGCTACCACAATCAATTTCTAAAAATTCTCTTTCTTCCTGGGCTACTTGACATAGTCTCTCACCCCACCACTCCTAGCCTTCATATTTCTGTTTTCTAGGCTACCCATCACCAACTCATTAGGCCTTTCTTTCCAAGTCTTGATCCTAAACTAAGACCTCTTACAATAAACGTTTAGGCCATTAAAAGGAAGAAAGAAGAAAAGAATGAAACAGAAAGAAAGCAACTTGACCAGTGTTTTCATGGGTGAAGGAGGACGAGCTTTTCCTGGAGGGCAGTGCGTTTATGCTGATGGTGGCAGAATCATTGGGAAAAGGAGATCAATAATGGTTGAGGAACATAAAGAGTATAATCAATGGCCCTGAATTATACATGTAAAAGTTGTTGAGTTGGACCATGTTTTGTTTTGTATATTTTTGCCACAATTAAAAATTAAAATAATAATGACATGAATAACAATGAGAACAAGGAAGAAGAACATGTTCTAAAATTGTTGGTGGTAATGGTTTTAACATTCTTCTTGATATGATTAAACCTATTGAGAAGGATGAAGGGCCAAGAAATCCGGTTTAAAGAAAACCAATCTATACACACATACACACACACGCGGTAAAAGACAGATTCCAAGGATTTCCATCAGACACCAGAATCTAGGAGAAAGAATATCAGAAGAAATCAACATAACACACTGATTTAGTGTGCTAGCTTCCAGAAATGAGAGAACACGTTTCTCTTCTTCAAAACCACACACTTTAGTGGTTCTGTGGTGGCAGCTCTGGAAAATTAAGACAGTCTTGAATTCACAGCAAGGGGCTCTCAATTCAAAGGGACCGAGTGGGGAATTCTTCCTTATAATAGAATTTAAACTATATAAAACACATGAAAGAAATAGTGGACTTAGAAACTCACCCTCGGCCACCAGAATCATCAATGCATTCTAAGCTAGGGCATGAGGGGATTGGAGGAGAACGGAAACATTTACGGCGTCTGAAAGTATCTTCTCCATCACCTGACACTATTTTGGAACTGGACTCTGGAGACACTGGGCCAACACCACTGGAGCCACATGGTCAGAGTTAACATGACCAGTAATGGACAAACTAACACGATGTGCCTCCTGGAATGATAAACAGAAGACAAAGCATCACTTCCATGATACCCCTGCCAGGAAAACAATGAGAACCTGATTGTGAAAAAGAGCCAACAATTCTGACCTGAGGGACATTCTACAGAGTGACTTGCCAGTACTTTCCAAAGCTATTAATGTTATAAAACACAAACAGAGACTTAGGAACCAGTCCAAATGAAAGGAGACGCGAGAGGCAATGACAACCGAGATGATCCGGGACTTTTTTGTTCTAAAGGGAACATAATTCGGACAATTGGGGACAGCCTCAATGAGGTCTGTGATCAGATAGTATGACCTGCATCAGTTTGTCGTACTGTGGTTGCTTACATGTTGCTGTGATGCTGGAAGCTAGTCCACTGGTATTTCAAACGGCACCAGGATCAGTTACGGGAACTTATGGTGGAAAGGTTTCAGTGGAGCTCCCAGACTAATGCAGACCAGGAAACTCACCACTATCCAGTTGATCTAGACCCATAGCAACCCTATAGGACAAGGTAGAACTGCGCCTGAGTTTCCAAGATTAACTGTTTATGGGAGTAGAAAGTTCTACCTTTCTCCCTTGGAGCAGCCAGTGATTTCAAACTGCTGACCTTTTGAACTTTAACCACTATACCATCAGGCCTCCTAGACTAGAAAAAGAGGTCTGGAATCTACTTCAGAAAAGTAGGCAATGCAAACCCTTGGATCATACAGAATATTGTCTCTGATATGGTCCTGGAAATAGGCTCCTTAGGATGGGGAACACTCAAAATACATAGTGGCTGTGACAATGGCCTGAAGCATATCAGTGATCATGGAGATGATGCAGGATGGTTGTCCATGTGTTAACATGAGTTGGAGCTGACTTGATAATAACGAACAACAAAAATGCTAACTGTGGTAATAATATACCTACCAATATACCATTTCCTGAGTTTGATAATTAATTGCATGGTTATTATAGCAAAAGGATTGGGGGGATAAGAAGCAAAAGTATCATGTAGGCTACTTACTAATGATTCAACAAATTAAAGATATAGATAGAAAGATAGAGCAGCCATAGTAAAATATTAACATATGGGAACAATAAATAGGAATTCTTGGTGTTTTTCTTACAAACTTTCTGTGACTTTGAGATTATGTCAAAATTAAAAGTTCAAAAAAACCCCCTATTGCTGACAGCCCTAAGAAAATCTATAAGATCATAAAACTACCTTTTTCTTGGCAGGCTGAGATGTAGCTGGCACGTAAGCCCTTGGGCTGTTATCAAATGTGTTAGGTGTAGTTAGGGAACCACGATGATGTTTTAAAATGCCTTCCTTTTCTAAATATTTAATAAACCCACTATTATAAGGAAAAACAAGGAAAAAGAAACATGATTTACACAGCAAAAGACAAGACTTTAATGACCACGAGAAGGGCGAGGACAAGGAAAGGCGTGCACAGGATATTGAGGAAAGAGGGAGGAAGGAGAGAGGGGAGGCAGGAAGAAAGAAAGGGAACCACGTAGATGGAGGGTATAACAGGATATTATTGTCGGTCTCATTTCTTGAGTTGCGCTCTGTATATATATACAGTGTGTTTCTTTAGAAACAAAAAATCCCTGCAGATTCCTTATCCCTCAAAATGAAACAGCGATCTGAGCGACTATAAAAAAGAGAGACAGAGTAAAACGGAAATGGACTTGGGGTTACAAACAAGTCCATTTTGAATAAACAAGTGAAATGTCTTCATCTTCTTAGAAACCCATACTGAGATGTTCTTGGGCAAGATGATATGAAGCTTGAGACTTGCTATAAGACATTGCAGGAAAAAAAAGAGAGAGCAGATAGATGAAACAAAATTGGCAATATACTGATAATTATTGAACCTGGGTCAAAGTACATGGACTTCAGCATACTATTCTCTCTACTTTTGTGTATGTGTGAAAACGCTACTAAAAAAGTGTTTTTGTTTTTAATCCTCTTAAGATAAAAGATCTCTTGTTGGCAGGAAATGAGCTGACATGAGGCATCAGTAACTGGCTTCCCAGGAGTGAGTGGTGTGATTCTGTAATTGGACAGGTGGTTGAACTCAAACTTTCTCTTAAAAAGCTTTACTCTTTTTCATCTCTGGTAAATGTTTACTTTTTGATGAGATACTATTGATTGCAAAGAGAGAAAGCAGACTATCGGGGCAGAGGGAAAGAGGAC